CTATAATCAGAGAAATTAAATTCGTAATTGTATTTTAAGAGATACCCCTTTAAACCTGGCAATTATTTGAAATTTACAAATATCACAGACTGTTATTTAATTTAAATTCTGGACGAGACAATTCAATTTACATAATCTAACATCTAACGTAAAATTACTGAATCACAGTCTATATCGATATATTCCTTTTAAAAAGAATGTCGAGCATTTGCCCCGTACACCTTCCCTTCAGTTCGAACTCTTCCTTTGTGGATGAGACGTTAACGGTTTTCCTACATCTGCAGAGTCTTACGATGATCTAAAGAAAGGTACGATTCCGTGCGTCACCAGCCAGGCGTAAAACCGTTTTTGGTAAACTCCAAGCATTGTACACGCAAATAAAATGTAACGCACGTCAAATACTATTCAACTGTAGAAATGTATTATATATAAAAACATATTATTCTTTGGAAAGTCAATTTCGTATGATTACGTTTATATACATATACAATACATATGTATGTATGCGTAAGCACGCGTAAATACGCAACATTTGCGTCAACGATTTTATCTGATACATATGTTTACGTAAAAGATAGAAAGCGGAAAAATAGCTGCAGAGATACAGGCGTACATAAATATGTTTGTTATAAGTCGGATATAAATATATTTTCACGAACCAGAGACGTAACGAAATTTCTGAAATGTGTCAGCAACGAAGTTTGTCTGTTGTCTCTATCGGCTGCTACGATTTGATCGATTGATATGATTGGACGTTTGTAAACGATATCGTAATTGTATGCTCGTAGAAAAGTTGCGTAGCCTTGAAAACGTAACGTCGGTAGACTATTCTTTAAAGAAAACATGTGCTTTAAAGGACGATTATTCGTAACTAGCGTAAATTTATTCCCATACAAATATTCGTGTAGTTTCTTTACCGCGGAAACAATAGCATATGCTTCTTTATCCATTTGATCATATTCTCTTTGTGTACTGTTTAAACTTTCTAAAATCCACATAATTGGTCTCTCAGTTCCGTCGGGGAACATGTGAGATAACACTGCACCGACTCCTGTACCGATGAGCGACAACCGACTAGCGTCGATTCTTAGAATTAATGGTAAGTTTGGGTTGTAAGAGGTAAAGCATTTGTCGCTCATGAACTCATTTTTGATTCGTAAAAATGACTCATCGCATTCCTCTGACCACTTGAATTTAATCCCGTTTTGTAATAATTTATGTAACGGTTGTAATAGATTACTTACATCTGGAATAAAATGGCTATAATAGCTTACAAATTCAATGAAAGATCGGACTTCATTTACATTTTGAGGTCGAGGTATGTTTTCTATCGGTTCAATTTTTCTCTTACTCTCATGCAACCCATGCTTATTTATCACGTATCCCCAAAATTCGACCTTGTCTTGAAGGAATTCGCATTCTTCTTTATTTATTTTAATGTTATAACCTTCTAATATCGTAAGGACAAGTTCTAATCTATTTAGTAATTGATTTGTAGTTCTACCCCCGATGTGTATATCATCAAGTATTAGGAAAACACCTTCGAATCCTTTTAAAAGTTCTTCCATCTTGTGTTGCCAAATCGCATAAAAAGACGGAACCCCATACATTAAACGTGTAGGTCTATATAAACCTTGACATGTATTTATAATTAAAAGTTCCGTGCTCGCTTCATCGACCTCTAGTTGGAGATAGGCTTGCTTTAAGTGTATTTTACAAAAATGTTCACATTCAGCGAGCGATGCAAACATTTCGTATATAGTCGGTAAGGGGACTTTATCCATTATGAGATTAGAGTTAAGTGTGACGCTGTAGTCACCGCACAAACGCACTGTATTGTCCTTATTTAGAATAGGTACGATGGGTGTCGCATATTGCGAAGAAGCTACTTGTATTAACACGCCTTGTAATACTAGGCGGTCAATTTCTTTACCTACTAGTGAAAGAACGTCAAAGGGTAGAGAATAAGGTTCCATGAAGACCGGGCGCGTACCCTTTTTTAACGTAAGCGTAGCTATAATGCCCGTGATTTTACTTAAATCATCCTTTGTACAATAGTAATTCGAAAGTAATTTATCGATTCGAAGCTTTGGGTCCTTTTCACGTTTGGCAGTACAAACTGGACACTTTCTATTGAACACTTGTTCTATACCCTGCACCGCCCGGGCGTGTAACATTTTACGTATCCATTCGCAACCTGCGACACGAACGCCTGCTATTGCCGTAAGATACAAATTTACCTTGAGAGTTGAGTCCGCGTATTGCAAATTTACCGTAATGTATCCGATTACAGGAATTTGTGTTTTACAATAATTAATTAATTTTATTTGCGTACTGTGGAAGATGGACTCCTTGAAAATTTCTCGCGCATATTTTTCCCACATGAAGGAATCGGCAACTTCATTGTTCACCTCGAAGACTATCTCAACACCGTTGACATTTAGAGTCATTAGAAATTTTTCAGGGCCGTCAGTCTGCTTCACCTGCCTCACGTTGCTGCTCCCATAAGAATCGAGCACTTCGCCTTTACTGCCGGATTGGTCGACATAATTCGTATTTGAACGGTTTATACCATTCATGAAACAAATGTCGGCAACGTGTCCCTTTTTATTGCAGAATAAACACGTTAAAGTATTCGGGTCGACCCTACAATGGATTGATTTGTGCCCGTATTTGGCGCACCTGTAACATCTTAAATTATTTGAAGTATTTGATTTTCCCTGTTTTGTTCCTTCGTTCGGGTCCGGTACTTTGCTGCTTCCATTCTTGTTATTCTGTGATTTGGGGACGTTTTCCTTATTTAGAGCATTCGCGAAAGCACTTTTATTTTCGTTAGGTTGCTGCTTTCGGTTGCGAAATTTCAAATTTTTATCAATCTCCATAGCTTTCGGAGCAAATAAATCATTAAGCTTTTGCTTAAGTTCTACGTATGTTAATGTTAAAAGACCTATACGTTGTAAATAGTATAGCGTGTCGCATAAGCTATTGAGCGCTTCTGTACTTAAAAGGCACAACAGATACATCCTTTTTTGATTTTCCGAAATACTGTAGGATATTAGTTCGGCTTCGAATCTGCCAATCCAATCATCCCAGTTCATTTCGCCTTGTACGTAATGTTTCATTCCGTGAAAAGATGGAAATTCGGTCGTCGCCCCGACGTCACTCGAAGTCCCCAAACTTCTCGAGGTTTCACTCATTTTGTAAAATTTGTAAATAAATGAATGAAATTCTATTTCTTACGTGCGTGTATTTTGTAAAACTCAGTTGAGTCTCCAGATGTTACCTCCTTATAGGTTAGTTTTTCACGAGGCTTCCATAGACGTAAATTTGTAATAGAAAATTATGTATTTCCCACCATCCTCGTCGGCAACTTGTGTATTTGAAAATGTAGTAGGTTCGTGGAGTTGAAAACACATTGAACTACACGCTTTTTACTCGGATGCTTAATATTGTCGTGTACACGGCACGCAACGTCATGTGTAAGCCATCTTAGGTCACTTCACAACTACAAGTGTCTCTCGGGCGACTTGCACTCCACATACGTAACACACACACACATACAACGTACGCGCAACATACACATAATAACATTATGTTACAAATGAAAAAGAAAAGTAATTAAAAAATTTTGTACAGGTCCATTTTCGAATT